TTTCATGCCAAATTTTTTCAAAGATCAGATGGTCAAATGGGATGGGACTTAATTCCATCAGTCGAAATTTAATTCGACACAACGGCGTAGTTATTTCGGGTTGCTTTGCAAACAGTAACTTCTGCTTAGGTTTTCACACTTTCACTGTTGTCATAATGTTAAAACGTTGGCGTTCGCATGCATCGAAAAAACCTTGTTGCAAAAAACTGAGGAAACCATTTCGGTGTGTTGATGTCAATTACGATTGTTAGTTCCAATAATTTAACGTTCAAACCTCCATAATGTTCTGTTTTCGGTGCGGATGAAAAAACCAACCGTTCCCAACTTGCAAAATTTTGTACTGCCTCTTTATGTCGTGAATCGAAAGAAACACAATTTTCCTTGACTGGTTGAAAGGACACGATTTTTGTTCGACTTTTATTTTAATTTTCATGTAAAGGCAAAATGCACGCGTGAATGTATTGTGATTGACAGATTGCCTCAAACTACAGACAATACTGTAAGCTTCGGGGAACCGTTCATTTTTTGATTAGGTTACGTGTCTGACAAATCAATTTGGTTTGCACTCTCATTTTAAATCAACCTTCCAAATTTTGTCAAATAAGAGCAAAAAAGAAAAACGTCGAGCCACAGCCAACTATTCGCTTAAGTTACTGGCGAGGGCCCTTAAATGGATTTAAAGACAAACATGAGTTGATAGCAGTCGGCTATGGTTTGAGTGACACCAATCTTCTGAATGCATACCGTGAAGGCTTTGTTCCAACATCGTAGCGACAGCATCTACCCATATAGTGACTTTTTTTTCAAGCGTACAAACCAGGTTGTCCTCTCCAGGTTTTAAATATCCTTCTGGCTGATGCATGACTATTTAAGGTTCCTATTAAAAATACTTCGCCGCATTTGACACCGACATTTAAGCCAAAGAAATGCTATCATGGCGCTAGGAAAAGGACCGCTTTTTCCATTTTACAAAAAAAATTATACATGGAACGCTCCGAAGTTACAGACACCATACAACCAATATTGCATAGACTTGTTCTTTCCGGCAGCAGATTCTAACGACGGAGGTGATCAGCGGTTCTCCCTCGGATAAGCCTAAATTTTATTTAACAAAAAAAAAACTGTCAGGTCTGGTAATTAATTCAAAGAAAATGATCGATCCAGTGATGTTGAATGTGTAACCCCTGCTTTGTGTTTGTTTGCCTATCTTTAGGCAAGGTTTTGTACAGTTTGCTGTTTTTAGCTCATTCATGCTTAAAGCGATGAATGATGTATCGTGGTAGAGCAGATGTTGACGGAAGTTGTATTCCGTGGAAGGAAGTTGTATTGTGGACCGTGAACGGAAGTAGTCTCGCATGCTACCCCTTCCCAATTAGTGAAAGTCAAAATTAATTTCGATGAAGCTCCGAAACTCACGTGGAAAGGAATAAAATGATTATATGGTTTAATAAAAATAATAACCTCAAATCACATGTCCGAACTTCTTAAAATGCAACTTGAATCGAGAAGCCGAAATGTTCACATCTGGGGGACCCGTAGCGGGTTCATTTCAACACATGCTGTGACCACGCGAAAGAGCATCAAAGGTCGCCATATTGGTAAGCCGCGCATTTGCGTTCGTCTTCAATTAGTATAAAGTAATTATTGCAATATCATTGTACTTTTCCTCGTGAGCTCTTCAACATACATTCCACATAGCAATCATAGCGGCCAAGATAGTCTCACTAGAATTTTTTTTCGAGCTCCCACATTTCGGTCCGGACTTGAGGCTCGCTCGAACAAAAACAGCAATACCAATCCGGTCAGTACAAAATGCAGACTGCAGACCGGGTACAAAATACAGACTGCAGACTGGGTAAAAAAATGCAAACTGAGAATTTATACTGTTTTTTCGTCAGATACGTGGATAACATGTCATTTTATAACTTACCGAGAGTCACGCAATCGCTTTTCCGCGATCATCTTTCACGATTATTTGCACTATCGTGGAGTATTCCTTGCCCGTTTCTTGATCAACATCGTTCTTAATATAATTTCAAGCCCTCATATAGTCTTCTCACTTTGCGCGCGAGTTAGTTGCTGAGATGTCGGTACAGAATTTACTAACTTAATAAAAGTAGATGTAGATGGAGATGTAAAGGAGATGTCACTATGAATATTCGATACGCGCAATATTCGAGAAACAATTCAGTGACAGCTTTACACGTGGTACGAACGTTTCATCGTTTTAACCGATATGTGTTCATTTTGTTGACAAAAATGCAGACCGAGACCAAAACTGTTCCTTCGACTTGATATATTTTAAAACTTTCAGGGGTGTACACACACTGATTTTTCCATATGTGCCCTATAGTGTTATTGGCCTAGTTCATCAGGAACCAGCGAATTTTTATAAGGGAAAAGCGAGAAGGTTGCTTTCGTGACTAGCCATTTGTTTACTTTTCTAGTGGTTTTATCCCTCGTGTGTTTGGTGACTACACAAACACACACACCAACAAAAAGGACACTGTCTGCTTAATGACCTCGGCCCATCCTACCTCCAGCCCACACAACCTTTTTTCCAATTCTCATCACGACGAATGCACAAGTTTTTTTGATCACACAACTGCCCAAAATAAGAGAGAGTTTATTCCAAAAGTCTTGAAAGTTCACATAAACCGAATTCAACTGTACCTATATTCAACAAGTCCAAGAAATCGATACAAACCTAAGCCATAACATGAATGAGCTAGCTCCAAGAGCCCTTTGATTTGTTTCAATAACAAAGAGATAGATATGCATGGAACAGAGAGATGATTACAGAGGCAATTATTTTTTAATTCAGGTGTCTAAGAATCAAACATTTGTCACGAAAAAAATTCTTAGTAAAGCCATGGAAAACAATTCCCTGTCTTGCTTTCCTTTCTCACCAAAGCAGTCTGTTTACAGGTGTTTAGCGCAGCTTTTGATTGAAGGGACAGGAACGATAACGATGTTAACCGTTTCCTAGGCAATTGACGAAGAAATTTGATTCATTTATGTCACAGAAATAACGTCACATTACAAAAATTATACAAATGTTCGCGTGCAGTGCCATTTCCGTCAGATTCTTCTTCCTTGACCAACTGGGCTGCGGAATTCTACTGAACCTAAAGTTAACTCTGTGAGCCATTTACCGGCTCCGATGTAATTCAAGGAGATTTGAGGAACCAACAAGAGTAAAAGGAGCCTTTTCTTGAACTCAACAGAATCAAAGATGGATCTCTACGTGACAGTTTCCCTTACCGTGTTATCCGTTCTCATCGTTGCCGCGAACCTCTTCGTTATTAGTTTAGTTTGCTTGAACAGAGTCCCACGAACATACACAAACTGGCTGACTGTTTCACTTGCTGTGTCCGACATACTTACAGGAGGCATTTTATTTCCCATGCTGATCATGCGGCCAACACACGCCGTTGTAGACTATTTGTCCAGTATGATCTTGCTCTGGGGTGTTGCTAACATATGCGCACTCACTTACGATCGATACGTTGCCATTATTAAGCCTCTGCACTACACTTACCGCATACCTGAGATATTCAAAAAGACCATTATCACTGTATGGTTATTTCCAACCATATACAGCTTATTGCCGTTATTTTGGAGAGCGGATCGTTCAAAAACAATTCACTTGGTGTACCTTGTTTGCTTGGAATTCGTTGGCGTGATCACTCCGTACATCTTTATGACAATCGCCTATATTAGGATTTTTAAGGCAGTGAGGCAAGGCTTGGCATCGAGGAATAAATTAGATTGCACAATGAAACAGATCAACAAACGCAGACACATCTCCTCTGATGCACAAGTAGCGAAACTTTTCTTCATCATCTCTGTGGCCTTCCTAACCTCGTGGATGCCGATCATTTATATGACAACCGCCGTCGATGTTTTTGGTCGGTTCGACATCGTTCCCAATGTCCTGCCGATAATTTCATTATATACAATAGCCATTGCCTCATTGGTAAATCCCTTCGTGTATAGCTTCCTCAAACCGGATTTCAGGGTTGTAACACGAAATATCTGTCGAAATAGCAATCGAGAGGGAGCGATGTCCAAGACACCTAAACAGGCTTGCCAGGTGAAAACAGATAGACACACAAACCGCCGTGAAGAGCCCCTCAACAACCTTCAATTGATAGCGAGCGCGAGTCGTATGAGTGTGGTACATGGATACCTCGACCAAGACGTGAACGATTCACAGTCTACTTAGTTTCTTATGACCAAATATCTTCAACGTTTTAAAAGTTAAGAAGCGCGATGGATAAAGGTAAGGAAGCAGCTCGCAAAGTTTCTAATAACATTTGGTATGGTACATTCAACGGAAACACGAACGCCTTGCCAAGGACGATTATGAACATGCAAAACACCATCTACCACTAATTTCATAAAAACGAGGAACGACTCATCACAGATGAAAAACAATTGAGCACGGCAGGGTTTGAGATGACCAGGTGCATATCCGTCAAAACGAAAGAATTATCGGTCCATTGATAGCAATGAACTCATGGCTGAACTCACCTACATCATAACGTTTTTATTCAGTTTGTGCTATGTTGTCAAAATCTTTTAATGCATAACGTTTTCATATCTTAGAAGAACTTTCCGATATTATAAGGAACGAAAAAGCAGCTGGTGACGAATGGTGTTTGGAAAACGTTGTGAAAAAAAAGACAAGTCTAAATAAAATTCGAAGCGCTTCCTATCTCATGAATAAAACAACACGTTGAAGATAATTATCGGTTGATGCATGATGGAGAAAAATACTTCAATAAGGCAAAAAAAAGTGTCCCAAGGAGCATAACTGATGACAATCACAGTGTGTCTGATTTATTTATAACAAAATACGATGAAATATGAAGACACAACATGATGAATTGCACGGGGATTCTTGAATTAATCAGTGACGAAAATCAGCAAAAATTATCGAGAGTAATAGAAGGGTTGAAACTCATAAAACAAAATCAATCAACCCTGATACTCACCAAACACCGATGGGCTTGTAAGCACATATCTGGTATCCTTTGGTATGAAAACTACGATTTAAAATAGACGGATCGAGAAATTAGCGCAGCACGTAACCTTTAAAACCAAAAAGTAAAGTAGAGAGTTCCAAAAAGAAAAAAAGATTCATGTGATCAGATAACCTTTATCAACACTTTCTCTACTTACTTTGTAATTGTGTTGCTCACTAGAAATAAAAGAGTGCGGGAATAAAATCTGTTTGAGGAAAAAAAAAACCCACTCAAAAGAGAAGAAAAATAGCTGTGTATATTGCGCTGTCTCTCTAGATTAAAATAAACTAAATAAGGTAAAACAACAAAAACAGCAATAAAGTAAGTTATTTAAAAATTCTTCGCCGAAAGCGAAGTGGATATTGTTGAATAATCCCCCAGACAAAGCAAAAGAAATTATTCAGGAATGTTCATTGAGCCTTAAGTGAATAGTTGTTTGAGTATAGTTGCTCAGGTGCTTTCGAATTCTGTTGTAAACTCTGTAAATAAAGAAAGCATTGCGTATATTTTGTTACAATTGTGGTGATTACTAGTATCGTGATGGGTAAGGAGTTTGAGCACTGGTTTAGTTATTTCAATCAGCAAAAATTTCACATCTTTCTTCAGAAAAGCGTTCCACCAAACGCGGTGACATCTTTTGTGCTCTTCGCAATTGAATTTTCTACTGATGCGTTATCACTGCCTCGGAAACATTGACAAAACGCGAGGTAGCCAATTTGATCTTAAGCGCCCCAGCCATAATCATCTCGCGCGAGGTGATTTTTAACCACAATTTCCCGATGTGGATGAGAGTACAGACAACGTTTCTCGCGTCAACATGTCATAACCTTGATCACACACTGAAAGAATCGTTTTATTTGACGTCGATATCAGTTGTGGTAAAAAACAAATCGACAGTGTTTTGTTGCGGACTCTCTCAGCTATGCCACTGTAATAGCAAATATCGTGGTTGATAAAAGTACCGACGACGTTGAACCACTATTGAAATGCTAAATCACGACATATGACGCAATCCTCGACCAATCAGAGTGCGCACATCTCTATAATCACTTGAGGAATTATATTAAAAATTAGAGTCAAAGAACTGAATTACATCAAGTACATCTCGAATGATTAAACCTAAAGTTTGCAAGCTTGCATTTACAATTCCTTTTCAGGACCTCATTGGTCTTCAGTCAGCATCAACATTTCGAGGTTTCCCTGAAGATGAAGCGCCTCTGCACGGCACCAAAATTAAATTCAACTATACTACTGTATTAAGCAAAGCAAGTATAACAATTTGCGCGTACTCCAAAGAGTGAATCAACATGCAAACAGAGCCACTAAAGGCGATTCAGATCTCTTACATAGAAAAATTTTTTTAAGGACAGACCTTAATTCCTTCAGCAGACGTCTGCGCATGCCCCGTTGCAACCATCTCGTGGCTGATAATGACGTCATGTTCTGTGTTAGTGTTGTAGAGTTCAATTGCAAATCTGTGGCATCCAGCCACCAGAGACGCACTCTTAGATTTCACCTGAAGCGGAAACAGTGATAAGGCTGACGATGAGTTTCAAAAATCAAGATTGATATCTGTTCATTGTCTCGCTACTTGAGGGACTTGGGTAAACTACCCAAAAATTTGTCCAGGTATTTGTCATTCTGAAGAAAAATAGCCCCTCTAAGAACAAGCAGGGGACTGAAACAGGCTATGTGCGAAAATCGATTAAAATAGATTCGGATAATCAATCAAGGCTAGAACTAAACTAACAAGTTGAAATTAGAGGTGCAAAACTAGTCTCTTAATAAAAAGTAAAAATTTACTTTACACGTTAGATGGAGTGATTGCATTTATTTCCACAAAAAGTCTCAAATCCATTCAGTGGTTAATGCTTTCCAAGTAAGCCGGCCCGACGAGCAAATTTCACTACAGTGCTTGAGCAATTGTACTTTAAAAATCACTACTATACCAATTGAGCTGCGCTTTGCACTTTACCAATCTGATGCAACAACGACTGAGAACAACATTCAGGACACGTGCTCAGAACACATCAGTACCTTTGCGAATAGTAACTGATCAGTCACCATTTCCCAGAAAGCGTCGCTGCTCTCATCGCTCCATTCTTTCTCTGTAAAAAGAACCACAATTAGTTAAAACAAAAAACATTGAAAGGCTATCCAGGCTATCCTTGGCCCTACAAAGTTTTTGTACATCTCAGGTCGCTCATTGATAGATCTCTTTGACTTTCTTAAAAACGATGACCGTTGCATCTTTATTAAGTACGACAATGGAGCGTTTTCACGTGATTAGATCCGACAGAGCCTCGCATCGTACCAAAACAATCACAAGAAGACCATGTTGGTGCGCCAAGCCAACATTGCAGAGTGAATACTCTTTTTAGACGTTACCACTTTCTATTCCTGTAGCGTATTTCCATAGCTTGCTTGCCACGTGCTTGCCACGTGCTTGCCACGTGCTTGCCAAGTTTAAAGCTCCTTAGATGAGTACACCTAAATAACTTACCAAGAGGTTCGACGTGGACAAGCGAGCACTCAACAGCCTGGAGGGGCAGCTGAAGGATGTCATTCCAAGCTGGAACAATCCTGTCCGCTGTTACCCACTCTCTGTCACCAAAGTCCACATAAAATACATCATACTCTTTATCTGGCCTGCTGCCCAGGACACGCGCCCGGTACCAACTAGAGGAGAGGAAAAATTAACAGTAATGTATGGATACCTGTGTTGCTAAATTTGTGGTTATACTGTTTCTACAAAGGGAACGGTTAATAACACAGTAGTTCGCAGTTGCACTCCCTTTAAGCTAGATATCTTCCTAAAGCAAAATGCTTAGCGGGCAATTTTGTAGTCACGAGATAAAGGACTGGAAAAGATTTTACTTAGAGGCGTTGGTGGCCAAGAGAAAAGGTACACTAAAACCGCCTGGGGAATGGAGTGGAAGGAAAGAAAGTTTGAAGTACTTGTCCGTCCAAAGTAAAAAATAATTTTTACGAAAAAGGCGACAAAAATTTAATTTTTCATGGGAAAAAATAATCCTGTCCGTAAGATAAAGTAAGATCACAGTATTTATCACCAAGAAATTCAAGTAAATTCGAATCAAAATCAATCGTCAGAACAATGATATACTGAACCTGCTCGAAAATAAAATACCAACGATGAGATTTTAATAACAGATACTTTTTTGGTAAAAGACGCACTGTTTAGAGCGTGGTAAAGTAACTTACAGGTCATCTTCGGAAAACTTTGCAACACAGAGCGAGCCAATTGGGATCTCGTTCTCCTCCGATTCAACTTTGTTGACTCCAGAGTTAATCTTCTGCTTCAGGTCCTCTAAGCTACAAAAATTAACATCAGATAATGCGTTAAGTATTAGGCTTGATGCTACGGAGTAGTTTAACGTCGACTCGTCCGCACGCTGTGTCGTCTCACGAAGTATTTAGTCAGTTTAAGCAAACTATCTCTTGGAATTATTTTCAATTGGCTGAAAGCGACAAAACGAAGTTCAAATTTTGCTGTTTGCATTTATAGAAGGTAAAATACCCGAGAAACGGACTGATATAGAAGAACAAAAGCCTGTATTTGAAAGAAACTTGTGCTGCAGCGGTGGATGAGTGAAAATTTAGTGTGAAGCATGAAAATCAGAAGGGGATTTCAATTCTTAACTTTTTAGCGAATTTTTTTCGATCCCACAAATGGGCAAAAAAGAACTAACTACAACAATAACAGCAAAATAACAAAAAAAAAATTGTCAAATCCTACAAGTTAAAATGCGGGAAAAATTTTGCCTCATGTATTCGCCGAAAAAAAAAACCTGGAAAGTAGAGAGAGATGTGGGTTTACAAATTACCAACCTTTCTTCTGAAGACTTCAGCTGGACAAAAAAAAGTCCTGGATTTTCCACAGCAGACACATACACAGAGTGGAATCCTTCCTCAGGTAGCACACTTGTTTCCAGAGCAGGCAACTGTTCACTGAAATAAGACACCCATGTACACAGATCTCAAGCGGTATAAACGATTGTAGAATATGGCAAGATGTGATAACATGTGGATAAGCCTTCACTAGAGGGTTGTCGCTCTCCTCTCAAAAGCCTGCATGTTCACAAACTGACTCGCAACTACTCAGCATTATTTCATTCAATCTTTTCATCACTGAGGCACTGTTCAGACACAATATCAACTCAAATCATTGGAAAAAGAAAAAACAACAAGAACAGCAACAAAAAAAGCTCTCACATTTTTATTAACAGAGCCATCAACTTCGTCCAAAGCGAGAGTTAACATGGGAAATTTTATCGGATAAACAACTGGAAAAAAAAACCCAAAACTGAGTGTGGAAAGAGGCTAAGGCGGTCTTGCGTTTTCATGTTTTTACCCCTGAGTAACAGGGAAGGATTAATCCTTACCTGACATCCGAAACACGAGTTTGTCCTCCTTCCAGAGGCTGTAAAACAATGACCCCCTCACAAAGGTTTCTCAGCAAGCGCACGTGCTTTAAAAAGAGTTATGGAAATAAAAAACTTCATTTCAGGCCCCAATCACACTGATAAATTGCAACAGATAAAATGTGGTTCGTTCATGTCTCGTCGGGAAAAGTTGAAAGCGCAACAATCACAACAATATATCGCTAGAGTGCATTTGAGCGTGCGCAAAAGAAGGGCCTAACTGAAATGTCTCAAAATACAAAGAGTAGTCAAGTTCACGTTTTCAGAAAGCTCTGTTTTCGGTTTGCAGTACTGTGTAAGTTAGGTCTAAGCGTTGAAGAAAAATTAAAGTTTTCAAACTGGGCCAGTATGACCAGCCGACAATTTATCCGGATTAGAGAGGACAGTTAATTCAACTGTCAAGGAGAGAGGGTCGCGTTTTCTCATCTGTCCGACGTAGGCTACTCTGGATGGAATATTGTACCAAACTAATAAAATTCCCCACTATTGTTCAGACAAGCGTTAAAGCGGAGAAACCTCTTACCTGTTTGTTTTCAGCTGCACGTTTTTCCCTCAACAGTTCCATCCTAACATTCAACGCATTGGTCGTAACATTGATGTTGGGAAGATATTTCCTCTCGACCAAAGGATCCAGCCACATCGTGTTGCCTAAGCTGCAAGACCAAAGTGAGAACAATAAGTCACTGGGCGAGCGATTCACCTTTTCATTGATACAGGCACACTTTGCGTTTTTTTGCGCCCTGTGACTTTGCTGCCAGGCTCCATTCACGTAATAAAATCGCCCAATCTGATCAGTTGGCCGCAACTGGTTGACACAAGCTGGTTGTATTCAGTTAAAGGTAACGGAAGTAAATGTGAACATCAAAATTTTTTCCTTTGGGGGTGGGGGGGGGGGGGGAGAACTTCCATAAACTTCACGTTATTTTCGATTCTTGTCTGCCTGTAATTTCAATGAATGCGTCTTCCCAGTCGAAAAAGAACCTCACCTCAAAACAACTTTTCCTTCCATTTCCTTGCCTTCAATGAGGCGTGTGATATATGCTGCCGTCTGTTGTAAATAAAAGCAAAGAGCAATCAATCTTTTAAACAGACATATCAAAAATCAGTTGAGTTGTTTATTTTTGACATTCAGAAACTCTTACTAGAGTGTGTTGGGTTGAATCAAAAGAACGCGATCACCGAGTAGTTTATCACAAGGTATCCCAAATAACTCTTTGTCAACAAATTGAGCGATTTCAAAGTCAAATAATTCAGTGATAATTTCCGAATTCTTAACCTTTACCTCGTCAGTCCAGTCAGTGTCTTTATCCAAAGGTTGTAATCTGCACACGAACACCTCAACTGCCTAAAAAACATAATACAGAACAGAGTTGAAGTAACACTAATGCTCGTTGGTATTCATCGTGGTGAAATAAGTGAAAAAATTTTAATATTTGCTGGATTATGTGGTCTGATCCGGTCTTGATCGCGACTTTCTAAATGCGCACTGCCGACGAAATTTCGAATCGAAAGGAACAATAGAAAAGAAGTTCTTGAAGAATTGGCGACTACGATACAGTAAACACAACAACAAATTAGCGACAGCGCATCGCTGAAGGACCGCATCACCAGAACAGTGAAGGTCGAAAAGCACCAATCACGGCGCAATATAAAGGTTCAAAAGGTGACGCGTAACCGGTCAAACCTACACTTACTTAGCCATTAAATGTGTCTAGCTAAACTGAGCAATGTTATCTATGAAGGTGAACAAACTCTTCAAAGGGACTTAAGTTGTATGAATTAAGCGGAAAAAAAAATGACGAAAAGCTTGTTAATGTAGATCACTAGCCTTACAGCTTGTGATTTAAAGACCATTCTCGAACTCTGCCAACAACAGAAGCGTTTTTTTTTCTCATTATAAAACCCAGGAAAATAGGTTTTATAATTTCTTGATGAAACATACCTGGAAGGGACAGGAGTGAAATTGGGGAGGCAACTGCAGAAGTCTGTCCACATGAACGCATTCAAAATTTCCCCTGTCAACATATTGAACCTACGAATAAAGATATAAACACCTAGTGAACATGTGAACTGAGTGGTGGCCTAGCAAACCGCAGAGTCTCTGTGGCTCAGTGGTACCCGATGTAGGCCGCCTGCTAGCGGAATCCGAAGGACTGAGGTTTGATTCCTAATTGAGACTCAGAATTGTTCTTTGTCCCGCGCTCGTGAACAAGCGAGATACATCTTTCTTTATCTAGAGGGAAACGTTTGGTTCCATGCTGTAACGCGCAAAAGAAGGAATGCGAAGTCTTTTTTCATGCTCATCACGTTGCTCTTCATGCTCGTAACGTTCTTCCCTTCGCTATCCATGCACCAAGTAACTAACAGTAAAATAAACCAAGACATTCTTACCCGCACTTCCACTGGCTTTTTACTGTGATCTTCCTTAGTTACATAGCACACTTTCACTCTGGAGACACAATAGTATAGCTTCAAAGGATTAGATTCGAGCATCTGATGCAAGTAAAAGGGGTAAGTTTCTAAAGAGCTGTGGTGCTGTGTCGGTGGGAGTATAACAGGGTAATTTATTATTATCAACTGGGCTGATAACGTAAAGTGGCCACCGTTAAGAGAAAAAGAAAGAAAAGAAACTCTTTACGGTGGTCAGCCTACACTATCAACTCAGTTGATAGTACTAAATTATTCTGCGGATGTAAGTTCATGTCAAGGCTGAAGTGTTTCAATCTACAATGATTGCCATATCTCTAGTGGTTTACCTATTGTAGGAACTGCTGTTAATTAGCTTCACAGCACACAGGTCACCAACAGAAACCAACTCTTGCTTAACCCGATGATTTGAATCAGCGTACCATCGACTGACTGCCATTGTTAATTCCAGGAACTCTGTGCAGTCTACAGTTCGACTGTTCAGCGGGTTTGCATCGGAGGGTTTGTGCTCAAGGATTCGCACCCAGTAACAAGTTGCATCCATTACACTCGTAATCAGTATCTGGAGTAAGTCATCAAATGTTCTTTTTAAAGGTAGATGCGAAAAAAATTGTAACAATCTAGGGCTAGAGGGAAAAACTCAGGGTTTCCCCATAAGAATTTAGAATCCTGCCAGTTCCGGTTTTGTTTTAGGATGCTACATTAACTGAGCGACAAGAAATCGCTGACGAGCCAGGCCATACACAGATTCAGTATGTAGGAAGTGAGTGATTAGTTGTATTTGCTAAACAAAGCAAGTAATCTCGACTAGCAAGAACGACTCACTTTTCCCGCAAGGGGGACCAATTGGAACAAAAGTGAAACTCATTTTGTCTGCAAAAGGGCAAGATACATAATAAATAGAATTACACGAACTTCCTTCTGAAGCTTACCTTAACTATGCCAGACGTAGGAATTCCTTTTGCTGGTTTATCCAACTCTGCCAACACTGAGTGTCTCTGCAAACAGTTTCTCGTTCCCCTTTGGTATCTAAATATAAGGAAAAATTATTCCTCCATGGGAGGCCTGAGTTTATAACTCGGGGTTGTTTGAATTCAGTCCACAAGTCGTCGTCGAGGTTCTAAAGCCCATGCGTGAGCCCGAGTATTTCAGGCTTAACAAACACAACACAATGACCAGACAGTTTTTTACTGACTGTGGGCCGGTTATTTACACGAGGCCTAACCTAAACCACAGTTTTACGTAATTAGTGGGCCTTGGGGATTCTCTATAAGAGGGTTAATTTAACCAAACGAATGTCTTACTTCCACAATTAATTTTCGGTCCTCTTAACACTGCTCATAAAAATAAATGTTTAGATGGAAGTTTCAGCTAAATTAGAATAGCTTAGGAGGCTGTCTTGTTAAACAACAGTTACACTTTGTTTAAATAACTCGCCCTATGGGTTTACTCCACGATAAGGCATTATAAATTACCTGCAAGTTCCAAAAGCTTTCAGAGAATAACACAACTCCTTAACCTTTTCTTTTTCCTGCAGAGAGAGTAAATTAAAACATCTAGGAGGATTTCACTACTTTGTTCTGTAAATTTTAAGAGCAGCCTCCCAGTTTCGTCTGTTAAAATTAAAATAACTATACTCCAATTTTATTTCAAAGACTTGCCTGTTTTGCAAGGTCGGCCATTGCATCAAGTAGTTGTGGAACTTCCTGACCTGACCTCTGTACAAGCTGACGTATGGAAGGAGCGTGATACATATTTCGGCCATCAGTCACAAAAATAACAGAGACACAGCCATGCTCCTTCAGAAAATCAAATTCACAAAGTAAGAAAATGAAGATATGATTGTCCTTGTGGGCTAGTGGCATGTTATTGGTTGGTTGATCCCTGTAAAATTCACTGTTCATGCCTCAAGTAGTAATTCATATACGTAAGACAAGTTCCCCCTTTTTCCTTTTTTTCTGTTGTTATAAACTTTGAAAAAAAGAGGTTAATACCGAATCAGCCGAACCAAACAAGTTTGGTCAATAAAGTATTAATAAATTAGCTGAAAGATTAGATAAACAAAAATTACTTTTGTGGGAACAGAGTGGGAATTACTCACGTGACAGCAAGATCTCATACGCTCCGGAATCATAAACTTTGTAGAAAGGATGTTAAAAAGTTAGGACTACCTCAATTAATTTTAGAAAAGAAGTGAAGAGTGTCTTACTTCAGATGATGTAAAAGTCCCAGCTAGAGTGGAGAGTCTTTTGCTAAATCGTGTCTTTGAACCAGGAAAGTTGAAGTGTATTACACATGAGGCATTTGTGATGTTCATCTGACCAATAACGTCTTCCGCTATAACTGAATTTTATTATTAAAATTATATATTAAACTGTGATTGCATTGGTCATCTTTTCGCCAAAATGAAAATTAAAATCTAGATTAAACTATATAACTATATGCATAGATGCATCAATAATCTGATCCTACAAAATGCTTTATTCAAGAACACATCTAGTAACTCCGATAGAAAAAACTTCAGGAAAAAAAGGGATACAGATGATACACAATTTCAGAACTGCAAAGTCTTTAAAGCAGGCCTCCTTGGTCATTTCTTTCATTTTCTTTTCTCTTTTTTTTTTCAGCTTTTGCCAAATTGTCAAACTCACTTTAACACAAGGGGAACTTATGGGAAACATAAGATTCTGTGGAACGGCCTTTCCACTGAGAGTTTTGAAGACATTATGGCATACCTAGAACTGGCATAGTATCAGTGGTGTGAGGAGTGTTCCACTGTCTCTGAATATTGTCAAGTTCATGAGGTGGTAGAAAATTGTGTGCCACAAGAGCAAAATAACAGTTTGCATTCAGGATTTGTCCTACGCTCTCTGCTTCCGCTGCCGTAGATGTGAAAACACAAATGTCTTTTGTGCTAATAAACGATTCCAGGTAACCTAACATGGGAAAGAAAACGTTAACGAAAGATTTAAATCCTTACACAAAAACGGAAATGAAATGAAAAAATAGAAAACTTGCGAGATATTTCCAAGGTTCTAAATACATGTAGAAACAGACAAAAGGTTTGATCATTCCCACTTTCCACAAGACAGCTGCTTGTAAACTATATGTTTTGACTTCACTTGCTGTTTATATCTTCGTCATTTGTTATCTAATTCCGGTTAGGCAAGCTTATATGTGCTTAAAATCCTATCCAGAACACTATGAATTTTAAATACCCTTACCAAGAAGTTCCACATCCCTCTGGCTCTCGGAGCAAAATGTTACAATTTGTTGCACACCCCTGTAGATAGCTGCTTCAATCATGTCAGGAATCAACACCACAGGATTCCCAAGATATGCCTTCACCAGTGATGCTATACCCACACTCCAAGACGAAGCCATGACAACTGCCTGGCGTGGTGCTGAACGACAGGGTTGGGATTTCAATAGCTTGGCGTAGTGTCTCATGATGCATTTGATCTCAGATGTGAAGTCCTCCACCATTATGTCCGCGTCATGAAATACCAAGTGACAGAGTCGATCAAGGGATATATAACATTTCCTGAGCATTCGAAGGAAGCAAGGTGGTGTAGCAATCAGAATCTCACAGCCATTCACTAGTGGTATAATCTGATTCTCCTCTGCACCAGCAGCAAATATCAGCTGCACACGAATGTTCCTGTTTTTAGCTAGAATGAGCCTGCATTGCCTGAAGATATCAACAACAGCTCCCCATGTTGAAGCAAGGATAAGAAACTGCGGCTGGAAAGAAAATACAAAGCGAAATTCACAACAATATAAAGATCACATATCATATAAGATTATATATGACTAAAGGGGGTCAGTTTCTGTGATGCTGTGTCAGTGGGAGAGTATAAAAGGGATATTTGGTGAATTTAGATATATGAAAATTCACATATTTGCACTGCGGTGGAGAGATGAAATTAGAAGATCCTCGCAGATAAGAACACTACTGAAACTAGTAGTTGTAAATAGGACCTGAAAAAAATTCAGGCCCGTACGGGATTTGAACCCATGACCTCTGCGATACCGGTGCAGCGCTCTACCAATTGAGCTAACAAGCCAACTGGGAGCTGGTCAATGAATTGGGTACAAATAAACATCCAAGTGAATGAGGAATTTAGATATATGAAAATTCACATATTTGCACTGCGGTGGAGAGATGAAATTAGAAGATCCTCGCAGCTAAGAACACTACTGAAACTAGTAGTTGTAAATAGGACCTGAAAAAAAAAGAATGAAGAAAAGAATGGGATATTTGGTGTTATCAACTGAGTTGATAACGTGAGTTGGCCACCATGAAGAGTTTCGAAGTTGACGTTTCGAGGTCAGAGCAAATGGAGGAATTGTGGGTGGTGTGTGTTTATATGCAGAAAATGGAGCTAAGCTATTGATGGGAACATGGTGACGAGAAACAAGAATAAATTAGTTGAATGAAAAGCGAGATTTAAAGGTTAGCTAGGGGCACAATATAGCATGATAGCTGCATTCACATGTAGCAAGAACGTGAAATTTCAAAGACAAACGGAGCCCTTTTACTATCAACAGCAAACTACACAGTAGATACCGTCTTCTGTTTTTACCAGACAAGATGCTTGATCCGTACAGTTGGCAAGAAAAGGTCTATTCATTGAAATTTACCAGGAATTTTGAATTTGAAAATGATTTTTCGTGAGCTTGACTTCTACACACTGTAACTCCAAGGATTCCTTTAGCCCTTTAGCGGTGAGGTAGAATACCCAAGAATAATGAACTTTGTTCTTGCATGTCTAACCTCCCAAAAAAAGATGTACAAAACTAAAGCTTTGTATCTCTGAGGACTCAAAGCGGCGGCTGCACAATAAAGTTCCATTACATTTCCCCTGTCACTTTGAATTTAGGTACAACACCACCCCACCACCACCCAGCAAACTTACCCCACTTGAAAACTTTGGTAGATCCGCATAAATTTCCCTTTCTTCTACCAACTGATAAATAATTGGCAGTAAGTACGCATGTATTTGTGCATCATTTGCTTGGCAAATGCCTACAAGGTCACGTCCTCTCAGAAGAGCAGGCCAAGCATGTGCCTGAAGTAAGCTAGGGTTCAAAATACCAAGCCGAAGCAAATAATGAGGAAATGGGCAAAACTCTGGTGAAAAGACCGGCTTTGGAGCAGGTGCACCCTCTGAGCAAACAATAACACCATCAGAATATAATAACTTTTTTCCACTTGTTGTGCGTTGTACTGGTGAAGCTGACTTCTGTGTGGGTAATAGTATTTCTGAAGGAAGAGGAGACTTTCCAAAAGAACCACAAGAAGTCTGCAACAGTTGAGACAATTGTGTAGATTTTTCACTTAAATTTCTCCCTTCAACCATATGTAAGCTTGTTGAGGATTGTATTGGAGAATGTTCAGAGCGACATGCAATTTCTGAGCTGCTTTTAGTCGTTGGAGGCTCACATGTTTGTACTAAATCTGTAGAGGGATCTAAAGTTGACCCGCAGTCTCTCTCACAGGTTTCTTTTAGGGTCTTTATTGAAGATAGCAATCTTTGCCGATCCTCTTCATTTCTATTTGCCACAGCAGTAGTTTTAGACAGTGACTCAGTTTCCTGAACTATCCTCTTAGCTGAAATAGAATTTTCAAAAGGCAATCTAACGTTGTGTTGGCTAAACAAGGTATCTACACTTATTGAACTATTTCGGGGGGACTGTTCTTTTTCCTCTATTTCTTTAAGAAAGATTTCACCATTAGAGCCATTAGAGGAAAATTCAGGTATTTCACAGTAGGAAACACCTGAACCGTCTCTGTCTGCCCGTCTTCTCGGACGAAATTCATCTGCCTCAGTGGAAGATCCACTGTGAGCACTTTTCTTTTTAAGAATGGGCTTCAGATTCACGGCATCTGGAGATTTTGATGACATTGGATGAAAACCTCCCCTCATACCACTACCTGTTGCTGGCAGTCTAGATGACAGAAATCGCACCCTTCCTGAATTATTGTCACTCGATGCTGCTGCCGGTTTTCTAGATCCATGCATTAGCTCATCTTCTGACTTTTCACTGCTAAATGTCTTTTCTTCTGAGAGTCTCTGAGACGAAAGGCCCTCGCACGCACCTTCTGGAAGTCTCGCTGAAGGCTTTTGAAGTGAGCTATTGTTTTCCTGACATGATCCATGTCCTAAAACCTGTTGTCTTAACACAACCAAAGGGGATTCCCTTATCCCCAAATACCTATTAGTGCTTCGCTGGCTCATAGACTCTTCATCAGTGCTGTTTGATTCTTCACTTCCGCTGAACTTGCCATGTCTGACATATTCCTTCATATTTTTCAGCATTTCTTCACCTTCCTTTTGGAATTTTTCTCCCATCGCTTTCAGTTTTGCAGCTTTGGTTGTTTTTATTCTTGGTTTTTCTAAATCTTCAGAGAAGTTAGTTGCAAAGCCATTTAACACCAATTCATCATTGACACAAACCTAGAGGGAAAAACATGAAATTAAAAATGCAGGTTTTAATATTGTTTACATAATTATAATTGAAGTAATGTCAGAAAAAAAGCAAGAAGCTAAATTCTAATTGATTAGTATAAGACATAAGCAAATGGATTTTTTTTCATTATTTAAGGAATCAATTGTAATCTCTGAACAACAACTGATACTTGAGAGAAGTTCAAAGAATTTTTCACTGGACAAAATTCTGTAAAAGTTGTTCCACTGGCGGCGGGCATACAGTTAGAGAATAGTTTTTTATGCTTCCTAATAAATTCCTATTGGCTTTTTCCTCTTTTTGTTTTTGCTTTCTAGCAACAACGTTATTGCAATCAGGTGTATACAAAAGACAAGCTTTGTTTTAGAGATGTTTAGGATAATTTACAACAAATACATTAAAAAGGTTATTTTACAATTGTAGTTTGACCTCGCAAATTTCATTTCTCTTTTAGCTTAAGAAGATTAATTACACTTTTTGGCCTATGACAATTTTCTGAACATATTATTAAAAATGCTGACTAGATTAAGTTCAACATGTAGGTCATAGCTAAATGGCCTGTCAGATGTAATCTTATTAAACCAGAAAAGGGAGTAAAAAGGGATTTTAGAAAAATTATAACTGTAATTACACTGATGGTTTTGTGTTTACCTGAGCATACCCAGAGTCAGCCAATAGTAACACATGATACTTTCCTTTCTCATCTTGTTTATGGATGGTAACTTGAAGCTTACATCCTAAAATTAATTCATATGACTTTTAAGCAAAATTTGACTGAAAAGAGTACAAAGAAGACCAAGATTAGACTAGAATTACACTGAAACCTCACACAAGTATATACACAAGGAATTGGGCTTTGCAATCTTTGGAGTTTCAAATACCTTACCACATCAAATACATGAGCTGAATTGAATTGTTCAAATTTCTCAGGCTTATGTCCATTCGCCACTTCTACCTAAACTTTTCACACATTTGAGTAAACTCACAAAAACTTCAGTTATCTACCTTGTATGAGGGTTTTAAAGAGGTTTGTAGCAGCTTCATCCCAGTGATCAGTAACTCTGAAGAATATAATTAATCATTCTAATCACTTATGATAATGATAATTCTCCAACATTCAAACAAATCCCTATATGTGACCACTGGCTTAAAATGCCAGTTTTGTTCATTGAAATGATATTGTGCATTGCCTAGCCATTAAAAGATACTGCAAATTATAGCACAACAACACCAACCAAGCTCTATCATCATACAAATGGCTGGTAAATTAGTAAAAAAAATTTAAACACCTTTTGGTGTTCCATTTTCCCCAGAGGTCTTGCCCTTTCCTATCTGATGCATTCAGAACAGCATCTATCCAGCTACCCTGATTCCAAAACTTTCAATTGTTACAGGCTTTCAAATCAGTACCAATACATTTACAGTATAATTATGCATATTGCAAATGACCACAGTTTGAGCAAAATGTTTACAAGTCACTGACAGTTACTGCAGTGTCTTTCATTATTGCTGCACCTTTTGTAATGCCTTGGTTTTGGAACATATCAATTGTTTAATGTTACTGTTGGAAATAGACAAAATCTCATAGAAAGAAGTTATCCAATCTCTTTACAGATAATATAACTTCAGTGAAACACTACGATGCAGTCCCCAGTTCATGCCTGCTTGCAGCTGAACCAAGCCAGGCTTGTTCAACATTGTTGATAAATAAATATAGAGAGAATCTCAGTTAACCCTTAACTACTAAGATCTCATTAGTAATTCTCCTTACTATCTGCCATATAATTCTTGTGATGTTAGTTCAGAGAATTTGGTACTGGATCAACTAACAATCCCCTAAATTATATTTTTCTTTACTCTCATAGCTTGTCAGCTTGATATTGTATTGACATTGTAAGGAGAAATTCTGTTTTGGTCACTCAAGGGAGTTACAGATTTAAATAAATGTAACAACAATTTTCACTAGCAACATACTGTTTCGAGGTAGTCAGATCAAAGTAGGATGTAACAAGACCAAGTGGTTGAACACCAACTAACAAACATTCCATGGCCTGAAATGGGATATTCTGAAATAGCTCTGGTATTTCCCTAATCCTGCAGAAGTGAACAATGCAATCATTAACAGAACATCTCTTGAAACCATGGATGCAAAAACTAAATAGCATTTTGAACAGCTTTATTTTTAAATACAACAGTTTGAAGCCTACATGCACTGCTATAAATTATGAGGAAACTACAGGGTATTCATATGATGTGCTCCCTCCAGCATACAACAAAACCACAGTTTAAAGTTAGAAATTAGTGACAAATAAATGACAGAGGAGAAAATGAGTAGAGCTAGTTTTAAGAGTGAATGAATAACAGAAACAATTCTTCATAAAAATGAGAATCCCATAATTGAACTCTATTCTTTTCAATAACCTTTCTTACCTGCAACAAGGAACCAAGGTACTCTCTGCCATATCCACAAGAAAAACACTGTGATAACAAAAATCATAGCACTCTAATTTTTTATGGGACATAGTCAAATAAAATACAAGGAAAACACTCACTTTTCCAACACAACATTTCACAGTTTCCACCTTTTCATTTGAGGTTTATGCTGAGTTCAACTGTAAGTCTTGGCAGATAACACAAACCTATGCCTTGATAATTCTCACCATCAAGCCCAAACTCATCCAATAATCATCAACCCCTTACACCCAAACATCAGTTTACATATTCTCCCAACAGTGTTTTATACATTTCCTAAAGTGTTGACAAGGAGAATTTTTTTAACAATCAATAGCTTCTTTGGCTGGTGATCATATTCTTTATTTTTGTGACTTAAATGTGTGATTCAGGGGTAATATTAGATGCTAGTCACTCTTCTGAGTTAAAGGGTTAAATAACAATTTACCTTGCTTGCGGTCCACTCAATGTTTGTAATACAGTTTGAACTCTTGCCCTATACCAGCAGTTATCTGAGGTCCGCCTTACCACACACATCTGCAATGTGACATGAACAGCAAGATAGAGTAGTTTACAACTCTTCTACCAATGACAATTTGAGCAAGAAAGACAAACTTAGCACATTTACAAAGTGTTTACCAGCTGAAAGACATCAACATTCTGTATATCAAAAAATAGGTTCAGAAACATAATTCACAAGGCATGAGATTTGTGGGAATATAATCATTATGGCAGATGTTTTGAAATTTATTGCACTTGCATGAGCGTAAATTAAATACATTTTGAAATCCTTTCAAGACATCTCAAGTCACTAAACATACAGTATGATTCACAAAATGACCAAAATCTCAGCATAATCATTCTCTACATCTTGGAGAAACATTAATCAAAACATTTTTAATAGTTCAGAGTGTTCTTCAATGTTGTCTTTGAATTTCAAATTTATAATCATCTCAACAGACAAACCAAGCTAATTTTTCATAAAATTCAAGACCCAAGATGTTTAGTTTATCAATTAACCTAAAATTTTCAGAGGATACCTTAGGGAAATTTTATATTGAACTACATCCATTGTACATGTAACCAATTTAAGCATTCATTATTTGCAACATATAAAAGAGGGACATGTTTTTTCAGATTATACCGTAACTTACATGACAGCCATCAATGAATAATACATCAATTTATACACACTTACCTGACCCTTCTCCACCTGATTATTAGCTTGTGAGTTTGTATCCTTTCTAAAATGATCATTCAGTTTTCCCATAAAGTCTTGGAATTCGCTGCTAGGACCAGCAACAGGGTGAGCCCAGAAATTCCCTGCGTTGATTACCTGTGTTGCAAAAGATCAAATTTCCCTGATGCTCACAACTTGTGGCTTGGTACATCAGTTGGTAGAGGCTCCCAACTACTCTCATAGAGGAATGGTTTACAACCCAATCAAACCCTAAATTTTGTTAAGCATGCTGTTTTCAAAATCTCTTTACCTGAAATTTACCAGCAAGGAACTCTTCTTACCATGGCTATTTTTTGTTGGTTTTGAATTTTTCAAACAAGTTTGATATTCCAGCCTTGCATCCCTTATCATAAAAATCACAATGGTTTGAAAACTTTTAAACCATTAAAAGAATGAACCATAGTATTCACACACTGTAGAATTTTTCAGTCTTTCAAATATCATTTCAGTCATGGTTGCTCTACAAGGCACAGTTATCACAGGCACCATGATATCTGAATTGGTTCTTCAATTAAGTTACCACACAGAGGAAAATGAAATAAAATGTTTTCTTTTTTTAAAATATAGAGGTCTGGTACAGCTGTATTTGAGAACAAGACCAGCAAGTAATCTGAACAGGCACATACATTTTTAGCTCCAGTCAGCTATCACATAAACCTGTTTAACTCTTTAACTCCCATGAGTGACCAAGACAAAATTTCTCCTTACAATACCAATACAATAACAACCAGATATGTGATAAGAATAAAGAAAAATACTAATTTGGGGATAATTAGTTGATACAATACTAAATTCTTTATAACAACATTGTAAGAATTGTATAATTGACGGTAAGGAGAATAACAAATTTGATTTGGGTGTTAAAGGGTTAAGCAGCTAACCTCTCTTAAAGATATTTAAAGCATTCAATACGTGAATGTATATATGATGATACAAACCTTAAATATTTCAATATCCAAGGTGGTGGCCATTTTTAGAGGATCAAAAAACTATGCTGAGAATACACCTTCCAAAAAGAAGAAAGAAAAATATTTTTAACTTACTTTACATGTTACCTTTGACAAACCAATCCCTCGAGCAGGTCAATATAGTCCTGTATATACCTTCTAGGTGCTTTTATCATGTTAAGTATACCTTCCTATTATAACACTGGTCCAAACCAGTGTGAAGAGTAATCTATACAGCTATGAACCCAAAAGTAATGAGCATCAATATTAATAGCCTGATAAAAGAGATCAGAGAGTTATCCTCTACTTCCCAGAATTCTGCAGCCAAATTTTGTTGGCTTGTGTCATTTTGCAGTAAGACAGAGAACATTTTCCTGTTACTTAACATCACTCTTGATACTAAATTAGTTCATAAAAGCCCTAACTGAGGGAAAGAGAAAGTTTTTTTCATTTAACATAGCAAGATCAGTAGGTAATATATGATATTACAGTCTGATCATTCAGGTGAGTGTAGTCCTGAGAAGGACTGTTGTCAGTAGTGGTGATTGATATTTTGACAACTGAGCAGGAGTTATCATCAGAGTCAAGTGAACAGCTTCTGTCAGGCAAGTGTTCTAGGTCCAATTCATTTTTGTTGTGATGTAACATTGGCTGTGGGATTAAAGTGGCACAAGTTGGTCGTGATTGGTTTAAACCCAAAAAAATTAAGAGGTTTTTATTGACACTCTGCTGGTATGGTACCAACTCAGGTGATTCCTTAGAAATAAAAGTTGCTTAACCATTTTCCTAACCTTTCTTGGAAAGTTTCCTACCTATCACAGATTAAAAGAATACCAAAATTTAAACAGTATAGTAACATAAAATAACAAAATTTAGAAAATACTTGAAGTAACGAGGGTCTTCTTTAATCTCTAAAGACCCTCAAGTCTTAGCTTTAATTCTTCTCACTGTGGATTAATACAATAGCCAACTACTAAACGCAGGACTCTCAGTTCCTCTTAGCAACAGAAGACCTAGTAACGCAATATTCTCACAGGTGTCTTCTTAATTTTGGTTTTAATGCGTTAGTACTTGCTCAAGAAAATCATAATTTTCTCATGCAACCGTCACACAATCCACAAACATGGAAATGCATGTATCAGCTGATCCACTACGTGGCAAAACTAAAACCAAGCAGAAGTAACTCCCAGAATTTCTGGTCGTTTTGAAAATGATACACGGGGCTATGAATGAGTCTGTAGTGATGTAGGAGATCTCATCGAGTTGTGCAATACTTTGCAAACTGATACATCACTACAGGAACCGGTTACTAGAAGCAAACGCGCACGTCAAGGGTAAATTGTCACGTAGTCTGCATGCTTAAGAAACACCTTTCTGCTTCATGCTGTTTCACTTCCTGAACATACCTGGTCTGACTTGTGCCTCTTGAATTAGTGCACTTGAAGGAAATGCATGAGTATGGTAGATATGCGCCAGAGAGTTAACTCGAATCTCTAGAAATTCACCGCTATCCCATCTGCCATCTTTCTTTGAAGCATGCTTTAGTTTGGTGGAGATCTGGGAATAGTAGCCTCGATTTCATAAAAAGCTATCTTCCCGAGAAAGGCAAATCTGCAAGGCGGTGCTTATTTTACTTATTTTTGGTTATTTTTCTTTTATTTTTGTGGCTTCTGCCTCCTAGGGGGAGCAGAATGAGTGAGTGGGTGCAATAATAAAATTCCGATCTCGGGTATGTGTAACAATAGAATTCTAATCTTGACCTAATTGCCCAGTGCTACTTAATGATTTTTTGCGGAGTATTAAAGAAGGCGACATTGGCACTCGATACACAGTTTAATTCTCTCCTTTTGTGATTTCTGGCTCATAGCTACTAGCCTTTTGTGTTTTCAGTTGTTGCCGTGACACTACGGAAGATATCAGAAGACGATACACATCTCACAATCATTTCAGGATTGCGCGCTATTAAGAGCAAAAGGTTTCCTTGCAGAAACATCTTAAAAGGTGTGATCAGTGCATCATGAAACAATTTTTTTTTTCTTTGAAAAGACATCATTTTATCGTTTAAATCGGCAATCATGTAGATCCGATGATATAATCTTTTCAGTTCTTGCCGTGCCACTACAAAAGACGATAAACATCTCAAAACAATTTTACAGTGAGGTCCGCCGACGCATGATTTAAATCATAACTTTTCCTAGCAGAAAAATCTCAATAGATGTGATCTGCACATCCTGGAAGCTTTGAGAAAATTTTTTTCTCTTTGGAAAAGAGTATTTTACCGTTTGAATCAACGACTTATGCCGGAACAAGCCGCTAAATTTGCGAATCGAGCCAGCTGCAGAATACGATACCTTGAGATATTGAACTGAATGATGGAACGGAGAAACAGTGGATCGCCAGAAGGCCTGAATATCTTAAGGCGCGGAATGAAGGAATATCCTAAACGTAGAATACCTTTTCGTATGAAGCAAAAGTCTCAAAAATGGAATTGCAATAAAGGGAATTACTTATAATTAACAGGCGAAGTCAAAAGAAGCATTGGTAATCACTAATAATTATGTGGGATGCGGCAGCTTTTCTGTCTTGCATGGGAGACAAGTATTCTACATCACTTCCTACTAGCCTCATTATACAACCTCTAGTTCTTTTTGATGCTATAACAACTGCCCTATACCAGTAGCCACATGCAATCTTTGAATGTCTTTATTTGTATTTGAGTTCTACATTCATGTAGCTCCGGTTACAGAGCATGTATGTAGCTCCGATTACCCAGTTACAACCGAACAAATAAAGCGAGCAAACGAGCGCTTTTTGCTTCGGTATTTAGCATGGCTCACTTGGAAAACGAAGACAAATTAAACTTGACCTGTATACCGAGCCATCCTCACAATTACGGCTGCCAAATGACGCAAGAAAAGTCACCATAGAAACCACTTACTTTGTTCATCATTTAAATTTGTCACCATCTAGGTCTTGTTGTTGGCTTCGGAAACAAGTGAATTGGGCTCCTTGGGGATGCACAAAAATCCACTCTTTGTGTAAGTCTTGTTTAATCATTGTTTGTTTTATTCTTTCAACTGCGTAATAATATGTTTGTAATCAATAATTAAAGTTACTTTCGGTTAATTCTCGATAATTTTCTGATTGCTATCAATTACTCCCAACTGATTACATTAGGTATAGGCTGGTGTGTCCAGGGTTGAGGAACGAAACAATCAGGAAACACTGCAGGAAACTAGAAAATGCTCTCTTAGCGCATGTTCAACGTAAGTAGCACAGTAATTAAGCGGCAGATTTTTTATGCAAAGATGTAAGTATGCTTGCCTTGTGCATTGCCTCGTGTCGCGTAGATATTCCTGGAAAAAATATGATTCGGCTGTTGTAGCGGTGGCAATTGCCAGTCACGATACTCGCTCAACTAGGCTTTGCGTCGTGTCGCTGAAGAATCTATATTACACTGAACCTTATTTCAGTATTTTAACAAAGTAGCAAACGGATCTCTCGGGTTATACCGATACTTAAGCTTTCCTCTTCGACTTTTTAGGCCACCGATAACAAGTTACTAAGAGGTCCCATACAGACTTTTTCTGGTTTTGAAATTGAAAGGAAGATGTCTCCGCTCATTATTTAAAAGCTTCGCAACTGCGTTTTATTCAATCTGCTTCAATCGGGTGTTCAAACCTACTGGCCAAAGTCCAATGCTGGGCGCCAAATCGACAAAAAAGAGACGCTAGCCGTACGCTGTGATGTCAGGATAATAAACCCGTCAAAGTTGTCTGCCTGATGACTGTCTGCAATAAAAAAAATCCTGTTTGTTGTATTTCTTTAAATGATCAATTATAGACTGAAATTTCCCAATATGGGAATGTCTTCAATATTACGTGATGTTCTAAGACCCTTCCAACGCGATAATTTTCCCGCCTTTTTCACTCGCGGTTGCCACACGCCGTGTTTCCCGCTACTTTATGTGAGTGCGTCCTTCCTGTTATTCTTCAACTGTCTTCGCCTGTTTACATAACCTCTCATCGTAATCTCGAGTAACATAATACTTCACAAACAAAATCTCTTATTTTCGCATTAACTAATGCTGTATTTTTGTTGCTTCAGTGGTAATCTGCTCAAGCACCTCCTCGGTTTGGACTGGAAACTTTCACCGACCGCCGGATTGCTTTTGAAAACAAACTGAGTGAAGGATAGTTGCAATATTTTCACGTACTGAGGTGAGTGTTAAAGTTTTGACATCTCACGCAACAAAAGCTCAAAAGCGTACGTCTTAAGAGCAAGGACAAAAGGTTAAGGAAGAGACATTGTTCAATTCCACACCTACAGTGTGTAATTCAACTCATTCGTGAATCGGAAAAATCACTTTCCCGGCCATGGCAGGTCAAACAGCAAAAATTAACTCTGGTATAAGTCATACAACCAACGTTTATTCTCATAACTTTCTCAAGCCTGATGAAAAATAGGAACTGGAGATCTCTATTCCTAGTAAATGGAAATATTTCAGGCGCTCAAGTGTGCGAACAGCTGAAAATAGACGGCGAAAGCTTCAATGTTTGTCGCTTCGTTTCGCCATCATCGTACTTTGAATACTCGGCACTTTGGGATGTCAGCGTGTATTTTGAAGAGGTTTTGCTGGTTCCGGCCGATTGCATGCCGTTAAGTGTAAAGCAATTTCCTAACTTAAACCAACAAGTGCAGAAGCTCGGATCAGATAGCAAGTAGGAAAATGTATCAAATTCTTTCTAATATCACTCAACTAGAAAATATAGTGTTTACTTTGGGTTTGATAATGACATTTTAGGCTTATTTTCACTCTGTTTATAATATCGAGGGTATTCTGCTCGAAGGGAGAGATTCAAAACTGTTTTTAGAATTAATACGTACGTTATCACTATTATCAGTGTTTTACAACTAGCATTTCAAAGCAGCTGGTAATTTGGCTTAACGAGTCTGATCTAATCTCTGTGTCGATTAACCAAACAAACTTGATGTAAAAGACCTTAAAATTAACAAGGCATTCACAAAAGACCCAAAGTTCTTGACGGCACATAACATTATCTTTTCCATAATTCACTGCTTTTCCAATTCCAACTAATGTACAGTATATGGTCACTGTAATCGATATCTTTTGATGCCGTGGCCCAGTCCTCTATGAACCGGTCTCGCTTTGTGCTCGCCTAATACTTTAATACTCTTATGAATTAGGCTTACTGCACGAAACGAAAACAATGAGTACATGTCAGTCGTTAATCTACCAAGAAAATATTCAGTGATAAAATCAAACAAAAACACGATTACAGTCCACTCTAATTTGCCGCTAATTTGTTGCCCATAATTTGTCAGCGACATGTCTCTTTTAGCTGAAAGGAATTTCCTGAAAACGTGTGCTCCAAAAAAAAGATAAAATTCTTTATTCTCTCCAGACAATAGACGTCGGATATGGCAATCTCCTCAATCCCGAATACTGTAAACCGCAGATTATTCAAAGAGATAAATTTATGCCTTTTGCATCATACAGTAATGTGAATTCCATCACTCGTGAACCACGGCAAATCTAGTCAATGCCGAACAACTCAGACTTTCCGATGCATGTGACACTATATTTTTACCATGACTAACTGTGTTAGCCTTCATAATGTTAGATATGATTCCTTTGCTCACCGTTGTCTTGCAAGCGCACTGAGGGATGTCCTGGCTTAGGTTTACCTTATCTTGGCCTCAAATAATCGAACTTTACTCTACTCTCTATTTTCTGTGGGGCTTAGATTGGTGTTTGCGTGCAAACGTGATGTAACACATCGTTTGATTTGTGTCAAGTTGTGGGTGTTAGAGCGTCCTTGGAGGGCTCCAACCTTTCTGCAAAAAACTGTGAGTGCTTCACTGTCTTCCTCGAATTAAATCATCCGCGCTGCCATACATGTATGCCTTATCTGCAAGAGATCTTGATGCGAAGAAGAAGAGTTATTATTACAGTTGAGCTTTCAAGAGGAAAGCCACCTATATTTGCGTAGCGAGAGATCATATAACTTGTCCAATACGGCGCACGTGGTTTCGACTTCTTTTCAGTCACGCTTCAGCAACTATGAAGTCCTTTCTGAGTATATACGTCATGTTGAAAATGTTGTTGTTAATCATGGTTTCATAGCCAAATGAACGTTTAATTGTTTGTCTCACGATGTAAGAGGCAGGCAAACTGATCGCAACGTTTCGACTGCTATACAGCTGGTCTTCGTCAGGCGAAGGTCGAAATGTTTCCCTCGTGAATTGTTATTAGATGTCGGTCTTAACAGCATTGTTAAGCTCTGGTTGTAAATTATTATTCTGTTTCTCTAAGAACGCATTTCGGTGGTTTTCGCAATCTTATTTAGGATCTACCTTTGAGGGAACTAAACAGAAGCTCTATTGATTTTAAGCAGATGTATAGCTAACGTTGGCGCTGTAAGTTTCTTGGACAGCTAACCGTCTGTTTTTTTTCTTTCGATATGGAGAAAAAGCCCTAAGCGTGAAGAAGTTGAGACAGATGAAACAATAAAATAACACCACGCATAATGTGACGGCCCCTCCTCTCTCAAATTAAGATATATACTTGCCATCCGACGCTCGCGAGGGGGAAAAGAAAGGGAGAAATATTTTTTCACGCATGCAAGGCAGCTATTAATACAAAGTAAATTTCCTACGCATAACCCAAAACTGATGTTAAGTATCCTTAGCTGTAATTGATTTACACGATGCGACCAAGATTGGCACTGTACATCTTAACATGTAATTGGTGCCTGATGTAAATAGCTGACACAAGAAACGTTCTGACATTCATTTTCCAAATTTTAGTAAAAACGACAAATGAGTATTTACGGTATTTAAGACAGTCGCTAGATCTTAGCAAGGGGATATTAGCGTATAATTCCAGTATTACTTCGAGCGATTTACCGAAATCATACGCGGCTAAAGAGACAACTTTCGACGGTCTTGGATGTGAAACGAGGTTGGTGAGTGGTACTATATTTCTGTGTCTGCATGGTAATCGTAGCAACAACAGCTGGCATAGTATAGTCAAAAAAAATTTCGGAAAGGCCGCCCTGTTAGCGAGTTAGCATGGGATTGAAATTAGCAATCTATTCAATTGTGCAATCAACCTCTCCTCAGTTATTCTTTATTTTTTTCTGTCTTTACCTTGGCATTTTGCTGATAACAAATTTACCCACTGTCTGATCTATCCTCGAGTATGAATAAAGGCAAACGTGCATTCACGCAATACATTGTGCGAGTGCTGGGGTGCTGGACTTATAATTTTAAACCGAATTGATTCTCCCGTTTAGATGCAGCGGAACTGTAAGGAAGTTCCATTAATCCGAGTGCGTTTTTTGCTTTATTAAGTGAAAGAAGAAAGAAATCTGTTCCAACTTCCAGTGACAATTTGGAATTATATTTCATGTGCATATACTATACAGGGGACCAAGCAGTCTGCACGATCGATGACTTGTTAACTAGCAACAGAACGCCTCAGCTTTTAGCAAGAGCGCCAAAGATTTTGCCGCTTTTTTTATACCTTGACCTCAGACCTCTTACCAAAATGTCGCTATCATCTTTTAACGCATGGGATACATTTCGATAACTGCAAACAGGCGGTCTCTCGCAAGGGAAAAGCCGAAATTCATATGAAACGTATTTCAAAATAATTTGGCTTCCTAGACCATTATGGTCCCTATTGGGCCAGGTTCGAACTCTGTTATTATTTCGGTGGTAAGTTTCTAAAGAAACTGCGGCGCTGTGTCGGTGGGGGGTACTAAGGGGATGATTTGGTTGTACCAACTGAGTTGATAATGTAAGTAGGCCACCGTAAGGGGTATCTAAAGCTGACTTTTCGAAAGTTAGCCCTCCGTTATTCGCTCTGACGAAAGCCTAACACTCGAAACGTCAGCTTTAGAACTCTCTACAGTTCCCTTTCATCGACGCAGTTGATAAAACCAAATTATCCTATTGCTAGTTTAGTTCAGCTCCAGACAAATCCGCGGATTCTAGTCTCATTCTTTGGTCCATATTTATTGCAGAGTCAAAAACTAGACCTGACATTCTAATAAGTACTTATTGAACCAGCGCCCACACATAGAGGACGTTAGATCAAGGCAAATATTTGAAAAAACTAAATTTATGTTTCTGAGAGTTCAAGAAATGATTAAAGATTCTAATAAATACGCACTTCGATAGCTGTCAAGACAAAGGTCAGGAAAGTTACAAATTTTGATCGACTTCAACCTTCAAGATTTCCTTTGAGAAGTTTCCGGGGCGAAACTGGCATGGAGACTTTAAAGGTTCGTAGATTAAAGTTCAACAGCCATTTCTTGTTTTCATGTTTTGTCTGCGAAATAATCAAGACTCTTTTCGAGAAATCACGGCAAAAATTTTCTTTACCCTCCTCTGGAAATTAAAAGTTCGATGATGTAAAAACGGAGTATATCATACACTCCGTCTAGCAGCCCCATTGACGAAAACAGCAAGTTCTCCTTGAACAACCGAGCAAACGTGCTTAATTTCCCGATTAACAATTTGATAGGTAAGGAATTACACTTGGATCTCAACATCTGATATCAATATAGGTCCGCCCCTTTTTGTGAACTTGGCCCTAGTTTCTCCAGAGCAGCTGACCACAGAAAAAAAAATCATTAGTAAACGATGAGCTACTTAATTGTCTTTAATTGGGCTTGAAGACACTCCGTCGCCCTGTGCGTTTATAGTAATTGTAAAGAAGCACTGTAACAAGCTTCTGCTACGTGTTCAAAATGTAACACTAAGATTCTTTGAACTTTATCTGACCTTGAAAGAAGCGAGGCATATGAAAGGGTGAGTCATAACGTGAATTCTGATGTACTGCCCCCAAAACAGGTGTTTTCAATTTCTATTCTCTGTGATCCTTTGTCTAACTGCTTTCACATTGTGGTACGCATGGGTTTTATACTTTGAAGATTCTGTATTTCTTTGTTTTTTATTAACTTTGTCTTATTGTTCAGGTTTAAGAAATATTTAATTTCACTGTTTTAAAAGGTCCAATAAAGGGCAGTACACCAGTCAAAGGTTTGCTTTAACGTCAAACGTGCCCAACAGTAGTTCATAAACGGTTTATTGATAGTTTTGTTCGCTTTCCCTCTGTTACCATTGAACTTTTTTATATGTTCGAAATTAGACTAAAACTGATTCGTTTCTCGTAAAGTGCGCCAAAATATTTTGCATGTAACTGCTCGCTAAATATCTTGGCAAACTGAGACCGTATATTCGAAGCCAGTTTTTCTCAAAAATACATCTGACGTCTGAAAATTGTTAAGCTAGTTGAAATGTTATTGCTACAGGTGACTTAATCAATCTTCGAAGGAATTCGCCATCACTGCTCTGCGCGTGGAGTGAAAACCGAGCAAACTCAAATAAATCAGCATGTCTAACCATTCATTGAAGGCTCTTCAAACTAAATGTCGTTGAATAACCGAAAATGCTTGGTTTCATCAAGCGTTTTAAATGCATTTAGAGGCTACAAATTCTAAAAATTTTGGTTATCTCTCATATTTAAATTCAATCCAAAACACCCCGGAGAGTACACCATATTGATTTTTTAGCTTTTTCTACTTTGCCTACGCAGTCTGATATTTTCCTCGCAGATACAAGTTTGGTATTGGCTTCTTGTAAAAGACTTCTGCCAAAGAGGCGTTATTTATTACACGAATATGAATAACAAAACATTCATTTATCTGACAGTTCTTCAAATATTTTTGTTCGCTCACCAAACAGTTGTTGTACAGTTATCACGTTTAGTTCTATTGGGCACGCGAGGGACGACTCTTCACACCATGTGGTACCAGCCATTGAATTAGGTCTCCATGTCCTGTTTTTATCGCATTTCTAAGTATTCTTCATATCTTTTAACTTTATTCAAATTTTGAGCATTACTATGAGGCGGTTAATTAAATTTCGGTGAAATGGAGCTGTTTGAAAAGTCTTTCGCCGTTCTGAACTCCTGAGTATAACGAAAAACGTTTAAATATTATTATCATTACGCAAATTAAAAGTAGCTGATAAACAATCTTCCTCCGGGAAATAAGTTTAAAGTTATATCCAAACAGCAAGCAATAAAGTCTTTCAAATTTATATGTTTCCATGTGGGAGGTCATTTGACCACAAACAACTGAATACTTTTTGTATATATTTTACTTTTATTGGTTATTGTTCTTTCTTATCTTAAGAGCTCGTGTGTTTCCGAGTATTAAATACGCTTATTCCTGCACGATTACCAAGTTAGTTTTATGGAGAAGGTGAAATGTTGGATAGGAAAGAGGAAATTTGGTATTTTTATGCCCATCAAAGATATGTAATTGTCGAAAACTTCTTTGAGAGTTATTGTGACTTATGCAGGTTTTTTGGTCAGTTAACCTGGCGAAGCTTATGAACAACGAGTACTGACTATATTCCAAACCGTACGAGAAATAATAATAAATACAGAGTTAAAGAATGAAAGAAAAATTAAAAGTTCTCATGATGATCATTCTCCTAGGAAATGCCGAATTACTATGTAAACTAAGAAGAGTCTCTACAAGAATTGTATTTGTTTTTGCATATAACCATGCCATAACAGTTCTTCAGCAATTTCCACACCCCAAACTACTTGAAAAATAGTAGCGAGTCATCTTTTTTGAATTCTTAGTAGCAATGGAATTTTAATCGAATGAAAACCCAAACTTTTAAGCTTGTTAGTCGCGCTAAGTACCAACATGGCAAATTGGCTATTCAAAATTATAGCTCAACCGTAAAAATCTACTAGTTTGCAGTTTGCAAAACTGTTTGTTCTTTTTTCTCCACGATGGCGTCTGTGGTTCTCCGAGAAAGAAAGTAGGGTTGCAGGTTTTTTTTTCAAGGTTGAAAGAACCAGAATTTCTACTTTCTTTTATTGTTTTTAGGCAACAACGGCCTCTTCAAACAAGAAAGCCCTCGAACGATCAATAATAACAAGTCTAATATGCGGCACGTGGCCGTAAAACTAAACACATAATAATTCGTACATAATCCTCTTTTATCCTTATTGTCCGGCGTTCTTTTGCTTCAAACATTGCTTTCCCGACCACATACCAGCATATTTCGCAGGTTTGATGTACCACGTGGTGGTAAATAAATTTTTAATGTTGGGACAGTTTGTGGCCAAACTAACACGAACCTCAATTCATGTAGTGTCCATTACTGAAGGTGTAGCTTATTAGCAGCTGATCGCTATCCGAAACGCCGAGTGCAATTTCATGACAATTTCCCCGAAAAGTAAATTTTCCATTGAGACGAGTATAAATCAAATAAAGAATGACAAGACAATTAAGCGCGAGTTTTTATTGAATAATGTTATTACGCTGACAGAGATGGGTTATTAACCTTTTGTTTCAAAATGTCCTAAACACGATTTAATTGGCAGGCCATGAATCGCTTGCGTAAATAAATGTAGTTTCTTAATTACTGAGAGTAGATGAAACAAGAATGTCAAAATATTGAAGTAGATCTGTCACCTGTCCGTGGAAATGTGAATTTGTTTTAAATTATCTGGTCTGCACACAGTGGGTTACTTCATAACTAGACAAACGTTGCAGAGAAACTAATATCACGGGCGACAATTTTCAAAGGATAAACTGGAGATATCGAAAACTCTCGTATCTCTCCTTACAGCGCGAATATTCAGTCATTACTGAAGCTTTTTGTTTTATGAAATTTTTATCGATGAAAACAGCCGTTTTACATTTCGACCACTTTCCTTTGATATAATGCTTTGTAACGAGTGAGAAATAGGAATCATTTTAATTAATCTCACGGAGAACGCCAGTAAATAATCGTTCCTGAGTTCGTAAGTTTTTTCGGACAAATATAAGAAGTTGTAACTATGGAAATTCGCCTTTCTTCCATCTCCGGCAAAAATGTCCTGTTTGTTTCACTCTGTTTCGTTGTTTAATCCAACTTTATGCTCTGAATATAGAGGCTGCGAATCGTTTCCCCTCCGCATACCCTGAAAAATTAATAACAACCACTACAGACTGGACGGCAATTAGGAAAATCAAGAGCGGAAAAAAGTATTTTCCAACTGAATCGCTTCGCCTTGTTTGATGACTTGTTTCAATATTTTCTTGTGCTGTCACAAACCAGATATTAGGTCGCCTTGTCAAGAATTTGAACGGATACGCAAGTATCAAAAAACACATACTTGTTTCGAATGTGACAATTACTGGGCATTCTAGTCCAATTAGCATCGAGGATGCCCACAACTTCTGTCCTTCTGTCCAATTGATTTAGTAATTATTCATACGCGAAACGTCAGCTCAAGAGAAAGTTGGATAAAATATCCAAAAGAGGAGTTATCAGACGTGAAATCTATTATTGTGCTCTTGTGCTGCATTCCCTTACAGCGGCAAACTCGCCGTTTCAGTATGGCCCCAGTGAAAACGGTAATTGTCAATGCCTCTCAGCGCTGCCTGAGCTTTTTGCATAGATCAATAAACCGGCTAACTGGGATAATTAATTTTGAAATGGACAAATGGAATAGTGTTCTCCTCTTTGTAACTGGGTGAGATTAAACGTACAATATGCTTTGTTATAGCTGCGCTTTATAATTTCTTTATTTTTTCTCTTTATTTTTCGCAGCCCGGGGACATGCTGGCTCGGGCGTAGCGATCAAAGGAGTCTCATTATTCACCAACATTGTTTAGCGATATACGAAAGGCTGGTCAATGGTATAAATAAGGAGACCAGCGCAGAGGAGGCAATGAGCTCGGTCAAGCTTTAGACACGGATGGCAGCTGTTGTTAATGTTGATTTGAAGAGCAAAAAAGAATCGGGTTGGACGTTCGGAAAGGGCACCCACGCAAAATGTTTACGGTCGCAACACTCTGTTTGTTATTTCTGGCTCTGATTACATCGTACGGACATGGTGAAAGATACACGAGGTTCGACGGATCAACATATGTCACGTATTCCTACAAAGGAGAGCAGCGAACTCTTCCAAACAACATCCGTCTCGTGTTCCGAACGATCAAACCTTCTGGAATACTTTTACACGCGACCAGCGGCGGAGACGACTTCATAACCCTTGAGCTCCTGCGTGGAAAAATCAGGTATGTAAGCCTGTTAGGTAGTTTCCACTTATCTAAGTTAACATCTTGGTCTGTTCTCTCGGTGAAGTGGGATGTTGATTATTTTTTTTAAAGCAAGAGCGACATTCGTCAAATGTCTTTGGAAACTGTTCAATAGGGAGCCTAACCTAAACTTAGCACAGGCGCATAAGTGTTTTATTCAACGCGCTTAGGTTAAGAGCGGAGTAAACTTCCAAGGCTACTTATAAAACAAGGCTATCCGTTTATCTTTTTTATAAGCAGGAGACTTCATTTTATGCACGTAATAATTATTGGTAATATTTGGTCGAATTTGTGCAGGCCCACGCTGGGAAATTGTAAAAAGAAAATGAAATTATTCTGATAAAATAGGGATAAAATATTTAGTTGAAAATTTCATTACTCCGCCTTATCAAAGGCGAGCAGTCTTTACGTGAAAGAGAGGATTAAGAAACCCTGCATGGCGTGCATCAATCCATGGCAAAAGAATAAAAACGCTTGTACATAAAATCCAAGTAGTTAATAAAGACAGACTGATCATCCTTTGTTTATTGGAAGGTTTGAAATGTAAGCTTGTTTTACATCAAATTCATACAACATCGGTCGTGAAATTTTTATAAAGAAGAGTGGCCCGGATCGGCTGATAGTGTTTTACGGTTTTGCCGGAAAGAATTTATTTTCATTACTTTTGATTAGTTCGTCATGGAATCGAATTCATTTGATTTTCTATATTTCCGTTTACTTTATTTACGTCAGTTTGTAAGCTGTAAAATCAAAAAACGTCTCACTGGTAAGTCTCGGTAATTTGTTTTTTGTGGCTTCTGTGTCAGGGATCCCTGCTGTGAGTTATTCACGTTTATCCAGATTTTTTACGTCGATCCGTTACTTTTTCTATGTACTCTTTTCTAAACCTATAAACCCCTCATGTAAGTAGCTACAAACTATTACAGTCGTCATTTCAACATTATGACAGAAACTGTTTCACCAGGAGGGTAATTACAAAGAGAGATGAATTGTGTGTACTCGAAGAAAGCCACTCTGGCTGCACCTGCAATAACTTAAGTATACGCAGACGCAGTTCAGTTAGTACATCATAAAATATTTATGTCGACTGTCCTGTTTTCTTAATGTAAGTCACAAGACAATGCTACAATCAAAGATAACTATTTTATAAAGTCTGTTTTTAAAAGCAGTGAGCGCTAATCGCAGCTCGTAACACTTAATTTATAACAAATCATCGCGAACTGAGAGTTAAATCGGCGCCACCGTTGACAAAATCCTTGAGTATTCTTTTACTCTAAGGTCGACCAGTATGCTTTGTACTAATGCATGTTTTAAATTGAAAAAAAACCGAATTTCGAGTGTCACCTCCCGTTACTGAAAGTTTTTCTTCTTTCCGTGGAATGAAGTCTACAATGAATTGTGTCTTTGAGGGAAATTTTGCTCAATGGAATTATGTTGTTTAGTGTTATCTGATGGATATTTTGGCCTCCAAAGCAGTTTTCAAGCTGTATACAGAGGAATTACGCAGGATTTTCCTAACTTTGCATAAGTTATCAGTTCAATCAAGTAGATTTGTAAGATTCTAGAAACCTCTAGAGTTCATAGAGAGACGTGTTGTCTTTAAACTTTCAGTTAATCATATTAAATTTTATTGAGACATACAAATATATTATTCATGTTCAAAACATTAAACGCAGTGCCACCTAGTTTTTCTGACCTAACCTAAAAATTTCTGTTACATCGGTAGCGATCTCAAACAATAATCCAGGTGAACATTTTTTGAAAAAGACTGCCTATACTCGATAAAAATTTGATTCAATTTTTTGTATAACATTCTCGAAAACTGGGTACGATATGAATGCATCAATTTCCTAAGTTGTTTCAGAATTTTCAAGATTCGCTTTTATTGGTGGAATTATATAAGAATTTGCACCTCCCTAACATGAAGATAAAAATGATATTTTTGGTCTTATGTGCATCTCTGGTCTAATGATATCACTGTTCAGATCTAATTTAATAGGATATGGATCTACAGGCACTAGAACAAATTTGCAATTAACAATACCGGTATTTTCACCACGCTTTTAACAGGTGGTGGCTCCAAAAATCGCCTTAGCGATTCTTACTAATATTAATAATGGTGTGTTTTGTTTATTTTTGAGGTCAAAATCTTATGGATTCTTCTGAGAAAACTGAGATGATGACGATTTGATTGATGATAGTTATTTTGATTCGTAAATAATTTTGTCTCAGTTGATTCAATTGTCCTTTTCCCACTTGATAGGTATTCGATGTCTGACGGGAGTATGCAGAATATGACTACTGGAATAGTTTCTAGTGAGTATTTTGGAAAAGTCGTTGATATGGCGAATAACGAATGGCATCAAGTGGATTGGACGAAACAGACAACTAATTCGTGGACTCTTTACGTTGACACCTCAACAGAAGTGATCAAAGTCCCTGGATTTCACTCCAGGACTTTTGCAGATCAGACGATTTACCTGGGCGGTGTTGACGTTGATAGGATAAAGTCAAGGCACCTACTTTTAAGCGACCGTGATTTTGTTCCCTTTGAGGGTTGTCTCCAAGACGAACATGTGACTGTAGACGACCTAATGCTGCATAATTTCACGAGAGTAGGAAACGAAACTTTGCCAGACTGCAATGATACAACGGAGGAGTATGACCCAGTTACTTTTAAAAAACCTGAGTCCTTCATGAAGATCGATGTTCCTAGTGTAAACGCTGTCAAGTACAGTGTAAAGTTCCGCACTCATGATGGCGAAGGGATTTTATTATTTGAGAGGATAACGAAAGCAAATGGTGCTAAGATTAACGTCTCTCTAACTGGTGGTAGCATTAAGCTACGTGTGACATTTGCAAAGAAAGAATCTCCCGTCATTCTTCATGGTGGTGCTAATCTTGACGACGGAATGTGGCATTCTGTTTCTGTTGATATCAGCATACGACGAGTAAGTCTGCAGGTTGACTCTGACTTCGCGTCTTCCCGAAGCGGGAGTTCGCAAGGAACATTTTTAAGCAGCTCCGAAGTCTTTGTCGGAGCAGATAATCAAGGCAAGTTCGGCTTTGTAGGATGTATGCGCGATTTCATGGTGCAAGGACAGAAACTCAACTGGACAGATGAATACAAATCCCAGATAGGGGAGAAAGACATGAAAAAGTGTTCTTTGTTGGACCTGTGTATACCTAATCCATGTCGGAATGGTGGAAGATGCTCCCAGGCCAGGAACAAAACAATTTGTCATTGCGCGGCTACTGACTTTAAGGGTCCAAAATGCGAGACACCTTCCTTCTTCATGCAGACATGCGCTGATTGGTGGAAAGCTGGGAAGAGAAGTAATGGATATTATAGGATAAATCCTCGTCATTTAAAACCTTTCCCCGTTTATTGTAATATGACGAACATAGAAGGGCCTTCAACTGTAATTTTTCACACTCAAGACAGAGTTCGTGTTAAAGCTGCTCAATATAAAACTGGCGGAAAATACCGTCACGTCATCAAATACGCAACTACTAACATTAGGAACATAAATTATCTTATAACAAGTAGCACTCATTGCAGACAATACCTAGCATACCATTGCTACAACTCAGTCCTTTTTGACTCGCCTAAAAAGTTTAATCTCCAGTCTGGTCGTGGGGCAAGATGGGTGTCACGTGACGGAAAATTACAAGATTACTGGTCGGGTGCCGCGCACGGGAGTATGAAGTGCGCGTGCGGTATGAATCAAACTTGTGTAGAACGTTCTAAAGCCTGTAACTGCGATACTCTTGACAATAAATGGCACGACGATGGCGGGTATTTGACAAATGTAACGAGCCTTCCCGTCAAATCCTTAATATTTAGTGTTGATGGAACCAAAGCGAAATCTCGGTACGTACTTGGTAGTCTTGAATGTTACGGGTCGACAACCAAGAGGACAACAACTACTATCGTTCCTGTTAGTGACACTCTAGGTACACCACAACCATCCACTAAAAGTCTAACAAAGTCTCCAAGCACCATTTCTTCCACCGCCTACAAGCCTCCCCTTTCAAAAGAAGATGGAATACGCGCCTCGAGAGCACCGTTAGGAGAAGAAGTGTTTTCCTCCACAGCATCCACCAGCGCCTTAGAAGTGAACAGTCCTGCCACTCCCGAACCAACTAATGACAAAGTTGACATTGTGGTTATCGAAACTCCAAAAAAGTATATAACAATCCGAGAAAACGCCAATCAGGAACTCGTGCTAATTATTCTGAGTGTTATACTTGCCATTTTTGTGATTGCTATTGTTGTGCTTCTCGTCAAACAAAATTTATTTTTACCTTGCAAGTGCAAGTGCTTAAAAGCACCTCTGTACCACGATGTGCGCCATATGGATGTTATAGAGCTTGGCCCACCAAGTCCTACGTACGCTGAGACAGAACCGGAGCCGATTCAACAGTTTGAGACAAGTCCCTATCAAACGAGAAATTATGATATTGGATCATCTCATGACTGTCATGAAATGTCATCTCCAGAACTGTACAGTGATGCTGAGACTGACAGACTTGACATCAGCAACGGAAGCTGTTCGGGGATTTCGGAAAATGCCGATGTTGAAAAAGATAAGCCCGAGAAAAACATTGAATACGAAGATATCGACCTCGGGGTCATTGACTTTGTTCCAAGCCTTACCTCCAGAAAGCAGCTTAGCACAGAAGAGAAATTCAAGAAGCTTACGGAGGTCATTTTAGATGTTCTGTCTGCGTCAGACGTCAGAGCTAATCATAGCGACAGAAAGGAAAATCCCTTAAGCCCTATTAAGCCAAAAGACGTAGACCTTCGTGAATCAAGTTTTGAGTTTTCTCAATCGCATCTGCCCGCAAATGAACAGTTGCTGGATTCGGACAATGATTCTACTGCTACAGTTTCAGAGTTAAGCTCAGATCAAGAACTCTTTAATGGAGATCAGTGTGCAGAAAACTATCCATGCGGTAAGGGAACTCCTTGCAGTCGTGATGAGTGCAATGAATCTTCTAAGGAACACACTATCGAGATTTATAAGCCATCACGAGAAAGAGGAATAAGCCGAAACAACTGGATATCGTCCGATCCACATGACAATTATCTATCTTTGGACGTAGACAACCTTGAGGACGATACTCTCGAGGCGCAGCCTTTAAGTTCAGCTTTGAGTGGCTACGATTACAAAGAAGAGATTCCCACTGAAATAGATATTATGTCTCCTTGCGTGGGGAATGAAAATTATCGTCCTGCCTCTTGCGACGGAGGAGGAAATGAAGTGATATTTCATAGGGATGATAAACGAAAGCACAGTTCGTCGCGTTCGCGCTTATTTTCCCGCCAAAAAAGTGAAGAGGAAGCGCTACTTCCCTCAAAGCAAGCAAATGAAACGCAGGAGATAGGAAGCGATCGTTTCCGCGAAAACATTCAAAGGCACCATAGCGGCTTTTCAAATAGCTTTTACCGGCAACCACATCAGCAGCAGAACGCATCAGCTTGCAAAAAGCAGCCTGAAAACGGCCAAACCAAAGAGCGCAGAATAAATTCGTCGAAGCAAGTGCATGCACAAAAATATGAGACCGAACTATAGCTTTTATAACAATGCTGAATAGCCCGGAGAATTCTAGTCTAGATGTTCGACTGTTTACATCTTAGTTTGTTAAACAGTATCAGATATTAAGTTAGAATTTTTTTTAGTGCTATTATCAACGCACCCTAGATTTAATTTTTCAAAAAGGATGTAAATAAGTCTATCAAACTGGTAAATATACAATAAAGTAAATTTTAATAAAATAGTCCATAAAAAGGCAAGATTATTTATAAACTAGAAAGAAAAACACCTATGTTGTTAAAAAGTAATGTAAGTCGCCAGTCTATTGGAGAAAATGTTCGTTAAAGAAGTTACCAACCAAAATTTCGTTTGAAGTGAATTTAACTAACAATAATAAAAACCAAAGTTGCATGATATTTGAAACCTATGAGTGTTTTGTAATTATGGAAAGTCCTTTCTTGGATTTTTGCTCTTCTAATTTCCGATGATTCCGTTATTTCAGTGCTTATTTTACTCTATATATCTCAAAAATTTTGCTACAACTCCGCATTCAAATTTCATTGTGATCCAAAATTTATGCATACAAGTGATTTGATTTGGTAAAAAAAGGTGACCGAAGAGGTCTGGATTAAGCAGTCACTAACAACAAGCTCAATGTATCAGTGTTCTCATTTCTTTGAAAAAAATCTTAAAATTGAGCATACAATTTTTGCGCGGTAAGGAAAGTTAAGTTATGTTAAAATTAAAGAAGGATTAGAATTCTATCCATGAAAAGCGAAGGTTTCGTCGATCTTTTCTGAAAAAGAAAAAATTAGGGAAGGAACTGCTTAAGAGATTTTAAACCGGCCGGTTAAAAATAAGTTCAGTTTTATTAGCTTGAAACTTTCTAGAATAATAATGGATTGCTAAGGATCTCCGCTTACACTTTCCTTTCAAGCTAAACATTGGTTTCATGTGTGAGAGGTAAGTTTCAATACTACCATAAAAGAGACTTAAAAACCACTCGTGACTTCCTTCTCTAACCCTGTTTCATTAACCCTATTTTCAATATCCTACCTTGTTTAATTAACACCGCCTCTTAGAAAAAAATCTAACTCATTAGTTTTTTCTCCTTCTCTTTTAGAATTTTGCCTTTGTTATCTCTGAGAGAAATTTCGTTGTCGAGATACTTCGGCGAGTTGCGTATTTCTTCAATAAACTAAACGTAAAGATTATAACAGTGATTGAAAAAAATTGAGAATAATAATTGGTCTGTATTGAAATGTGCGGCCCATCAGTAACAAATGGTTTATGAAGCGCTAGCGCGGTCAAATTCTGCAAACCCAACTCATTTTTGTTGCCATGTAGATCTGCTCTATGGCTCGAGACGCAGAGTCAATATTCCACCGTTTTGAGTATCATTTACCACATTCACCTCGCTTCACCCACGCGGACGTTAAAAAATCAGGAGCACTATGGTATAAGACTCTAACATGCTACAAAAGGCTTTGATCAGTAGCAGCTGGTGCTAGTGTTTGTATTTTTAATAAGGAAGATTTCTTTACCACCTTATTCATTTGACCTTATTAGCAATTCTTAAAATAATTGAAGATCGATCGTCGAGACACAAAATGAATGTCCTCCGAAGAAAACGACGACAGCTCCCTAAAGATGTGACTAAAGTTCTTTCAACGGTTCTAAAAGATCGCTTGCATTGAAGCAACACCTTGCACCTTGAAAGACATAATCATTTTTTTCATCGAAAGAAAAAACTTAAAAATGGAACGATCTGATTGAAGTGTTTGTCTTTGCAGCACTGAATAAATGTTCTTGTCAGGGTTCGTTAACACGTTCCAGTTATTTCCGTGGAAAGGTGATCATTTGCTCAATTGTCCAGAATTAAGACGATTTATTGTAGTTGAAAAGTGGCGACCATCTCAGACGCACCAATATTTGTGTAACTGATGAAAAGTCTCCGTTTGAAAACGCGACAAGGAAATACAACTTTAAAGGTTAATCAGCAAACAAAATTATCGGTCCGATTACGAGCTCTACCTGCATGATTTTTACTCGATATAAATATCACTGAACTTAAAGGACTTTAATTTTCAGCGAATAGCTCGAACTGAACCTGGAAATGGATGCTCGTGAATTATTTCTACTGCTGTCGCTGTCTCTAACTGTGACTAGTCTGCAAGGTGATCTAAACTTCAACGGCAAAGGATTTCAGGTTTTTCACACAAACTTTGCTGAAGAGCATGTGGAGAGGTACAAAGTTGAGATGTGGTTTCGAACAACAAAACATTCTGAAATGGTGTTGCTGATGATTCAAAATGGCGTCAGTCCGCAAACGTTGGTTGAGTTGCACGACGGAAAGTTACGGTAAGTTTTCACGAGACTCCTGTTGAAATTCCTTTACTAGTTTTTGAACAAGATAAAAAGTCAAACTATAATCTTACAGACAAATGCAACTGGCAAAAATTCAAATGAAACTTTCACCCACGAATGGCAGGTTAGAGTTTGAGGTCTGTATTCGTTTGTCAGTTAATCATTGCTTTTGCTATCCAATACGTAATTATAGGCTGATTTTGTTGGTTCTGTCAATAACGAATGTTGTATTCCCCGGTCGCGTTTTCAAACGAACTACTTTTGGAGTTCAGTGAATGCTTATGAATTATCTGGCACTTTTTTTTTTTAACTTCACTCTGTTGTTTTGCTTCTGCCATTTGTAATCTCGCGAAAGTAACGCCCAAGTATATCCCGAACAGATGACATAAAATGCTTCATTTTCACTGATTTACACCTCTTTAATGTTTCACACTTCTAAGAAACGCCTTGCTTGAGGTATTTTACTCGGCGAAAAATGGATCTGGCGCCAAACGGGGTTAACATTACCATCAACCTACTGCTTTCAAAAGGTCTAATTAAAAGTTTTTTTTTTCCTGAAGCAGAGTTTTGCATTTCACTCAAACGAAAAGTTTGCTACTTTTTTCTCAAATTCCTACTGATTTTGTGAAAACGGGAAACCTTACGCCAAATGCAGCAAGCTAGCGCACTTTACCACGAGGTGGGAACTTGCACCTCACAGCGTAGCTTCAGTGAAAAATCATTCATGTCAGTTGCTGCTTACCCTGTAGTTCTCTTGTTCTAGAGATGCTCGGACATAAATTATATTAAACTTCAAGGAACTCACTGCACACGGCAATGGTCACTTAAAAACAAGGCAACATTCGAGATAGTGCGAGTAGTACTGGTAAAATCTTTGGCCATCTTTAAGTGTCATTGGTCGTATACAAATATCATAAGTATTCAATGACTAGCGAGGCAGATGCGCTTTCGATTAATAACATCTGAGCATCCCAACAAGTCAGTTTAGGTTTTATCATTTTACACTCTTCAGAATACACTAAATAATATTTCAAATGAAAGAAAGGTAGGTCAGGAATAGTTGGCGTCAGAATTGACGTGGCATAAACAAAGAGGTGTTTACCCCTTTAAATAGGTGTGTAGCCCTGTTTCAGATGTGACCAAACGGGCCACCAGTACAAAAAAGAGGAATTCATTTAAGTGAAGGTATTGGGAAATGCAGCCATATTGACACTAGATCGGTTCCTTTTCTTTTAGTGGAATGACAAATTACTTCAGTTCTACTCGAAATTTGACTCTATCAAAAAAGATTAGAATAAGCCTTTCAAATTTCTGCCTTTTTTTGCATATCTTATGCCTTCGTGTGATTTATTTCAAGCGGAGAATTACTGTGATATGTGATATTCTGCTCTCAATTTCACAAGACTTTTCTGGCACTTTTCGATTGAATGTCGTAACACCAATACCAGAGTAATTACAAGGGCCAATCGGAGGAAAGAAGGACTTAACATGGAGCCAATCAGAACTTAAGATATTTTGGTAACTGACTGATTGATTATGAGAGGATAGTACGAGATTTAACTCCAACACCCTAACATCAGCATTCTCCATACTATTCCTTCTACATTTGCTATGGCACTGACAAGGATAATTTCGTTAAAAAATTAAGAGCTTTTCAAGTTTACGATTAGTTTCTTTATCCTCATGAGCCTAATGTTTGATTCAGCAGTGATACCTTAATGAAAAATTAAAGCCAGAGTTAAGGACTAGTCATATTGCGCAGTAAATACAGACAAAAGCAGTCTCGAACCACTCATTCCCCTCCAATCTATTATTTTAACGAGTTAGGGAAACCTGATCTCGATAGCGGCTACTTTTCACTCTGCTGTTAAAATCATGAGGGGAAGCCTCGCCACAAGGCAAAGCCGCCGTTCAGGAGTAATTTAAAAGTCTATGAACAGCTATGATGATGGATGAGGTCGTTCCATGATATCTAAAGCCAGCATGTGGTGTCACTATAGAGTATTGTGAAAACGAAAAATACTGATAAAATTGCATTTTGATTAAAAAAAAGTATTCATGCTATCATACCTCAACATGCAATTTATCATAAACAATATTACTTTTCACAGGCGAGACTTCGAAGTGACATGAAAAGATTTCCAAATTCTAATGTTACGTGCGCGTTGGCTGCACTTACGCTTTCACGCTTCCCCTAAATTTCAGCTGTACAACGATTGTAACCAGTAAGGGTACGGGTAATAATAAAATTATGCGGAAAACGTGATGGAAATTGATACGAGACAGGTCTTCATTTATCGAAACTCTTAGAGGTGCGATTAAATCGATTAAACGCGTGCGCATGCGTGAGTTCTTAGGTGGTTGATCGATGGGTGATCGACCGAGGTTGCCACAATTTCTTGTTTTTTTTATGTAGAAAAAATTGTTTTTTGCGATCAAGCAGCATTTTTTTCAGATTAATCTTCAGGCAAAGGGGTATCTGTTTGAAAAGGAAATAGCAATTGAATTCGAGAAATTGGCAAGGGAGAGAGTTCCCATATTGAAGGCGTAATTGGCCATATAGAATCCTCTTTTTACATTTGTCTATTTAGCTTTGCGCAGTGGCATCACCGTAGTCAGTGAGGTTCATCCGAGGCGCGGTTATTGCTGATTGAAAACTTTTCCCAATACCCCGCAAGATGGCTTGAAATACAGCCGGCTTTGCAATTTTTAACGGTCCATACGGACCTTACGTACTCCAAAAAAAATTTTATACAAGAAAAAATTTAATTGAACCAACGTAACTGCTAACCGCCGAAAAATTACAACAATTC